GGAAGTCGGAGGACGGAGAGGCCGGTCGGTGGAAGTCGGAGGACGGAGAGGCCGGTCGGTGGAAGTCGGAGGACGGAGAGGCCGGTCGGTGGAGTTAGCGAATGGAAAGGCCGGTCGGTGGAAGTCGGAGGACAGAAAGACATGAAGCAGCTGTGAGAACCTGTGGTCCTTGTGCTCCAGCAGCTGGCAGTCCCGGCAGGTAAGTCGGTCACAGGTGTCACAGAACAGCTTCAGGGGCTCCTTCTTGTGAATGGGACAGAAAACAGGCCGCTGGCTGGAGATGGAGACGGCTTCTGCAAAACAGAGATTCTGCATTTCAGGGTCAGGTCTTACTCTGGGGGCTTATTTTAGCAGAAAGCTAACGGAAGCAGTCTTGGAATTAAAACTTCCACGATTTGTTTTCTTCGTCTGTAGCTGTTTTTATTTCCTACATGAACAATTATCACCGTTTCCTCATGGGGAGTGATGGGTGGTTATTTGGTGAGGTTGGGAAAAATGTTGTGCTTCCCTGGAATCAGTTTTCTGTTCAGAAAATGAAAAACAAACGTTACCAATCTGAGCAGTTTTATAAGTGTTTGAAATCTCCTGCATGGCAGACTCGCCTTTTATTTTAACGCAGAGTGAAAAAAGTTTGAGAGCAGCAGCAACACTGTTACTTAAAAGAGATAATAGGCTGCTTTGAATTAAATATACAAACATACCCAACCTTTAACAGCCCTTTTCAGTCTGTAATTAGCAGGAGGTAACTGAACTTAACTGAACTTAATTAAACTTTATTGGCCCAAAGGGAATCTGTCTTGCACATCAAGAGCTCATGAACATATAACAATTGAACAATAATACAGAACAACAACAATACCATAAAACAAAACAACATCACTCAACCGCTAGCAGTTAGCAGAACCCTAACTGCATGAATTGGGATGCATATATGCAAAGAGTTAGTTAATTCATCACGTTCTTGCTATCTGCCCCATTCATAGCTTTGACCAATAGCATTTGCAGATTACACAATATTTTAATTTCTTGCTATAAATCTCTTTCCTATCCTGAATGGGTCTTAGATTAGTCTTAAATTAAATTCAAGACTGTGCAAACACTTAGCAGCTGACTTCATTTAGACAACTGCAGGTACCAAAACTCCACAAATACAAATGAGAAAAAGTCAATAAGAAGAGGCTACTTATGATAAAGACTTGGGTGATTATATTAAGACAATTACATCTTCTAGGCAATGTGAGGACGTTTTTAAAAAGGCAAACAAAATGTTAGAATATAAAGTAACCAAAAGTTAAGGGGATAAAACTTAATAAAAGGGGATGATATACTAAAATTATTCTATTGAGGTCCTACTAATGCATTGAACATGGTGTATTCACCTTGGTCATTAAATAAAAAGATATGGGTGCTTTGAAATCAATCTCAAGAAAAGCATTCCAAAGCTTAAAATAATGCCCTAAACTAGCGGGATGAAAAAAGTGGATCCATGAATCCTTTAGATATAAGAAAACGTGGGTATTTCAGAATAAAAAAATCATCTGCTAGGGCAATTTCTCCAGGACGGGCAGTAAACTAAGAACTGGGATTCAAATAGAAACTGAAAGGAAATGCATTTAAGACTAAGTGGGCACTTTTTACCCAATTTGTTTATGACTCACAGATCGTTTTTGCTACTAGGAACCAAACTAGCACGATGTCAGTTCCTTAGGGCCTTGAAAGGTAATATATGTTTGGATTCAATTTTTGTTTTGAGGCGGCACAGTAGCTAGCATTGCTTCCACACAGAGCGCTGGGACCCTGGGTTCAATGGACCTGGGGCGATGTCTGTGTGAACTTTCTATGCTCTCCCTGTGTTCTCTTCCACAGCCAAAAACATGCTGGCAGATTAATTGCCTTCTGGAAAAATTGGCCCTGGTGTGGGTGTGTGCTTGTCTGTGCGTGTGCCCTGTGACAGAACGGCATCCCGTCCAGGGTAAACCCTGAAGCGAGCCTGCTGTTTGGCGCCCTAGTTACTCTGAAATGGAACATGCAGTTAGAAAATGGATGGATGGATTTCCATTTTGATTTTACAAGAAATCAGACAGGTTTCAACGATGGCTGTCAACCCAATAGGTCACAACAGAGTACTACCTCAGATTATAAAGTTGCAAATAAAAGCAAAGTACCTGGAGATACCTCCTCTTTCTGTCTGATGGTGTGGTCCCTGGTGAATTTCACTCTCTGGTGTGCTTCAATGCAGGTGAGACACAGGAACTCCACGCATTCTACACAGAAACCTGTGGCCTCTGTATTGTCCTCGCAGCTTGTGCAAACCTGTTAAAAGGACACTAATTAGACCAAATTTCATTCCAAGTTAGCAATGTTAACACACCTCTTGGGATGGACTGAAAAGGTTAATCTTAATGTGCTTTAATGTTATGAAATAATTGTGGGTAAGTTATTATTAGGAGGATTTTAGGTTAAAGTATAATGTTTAAGAGTAATTCACTCAGTCCTGAGACCATCTTAAGTAAAAACGTTTAAAGGAAACTACACACACCTCTAATCAAGTAATACTAAGCGGGAACTCCTGGCTTCTATAAATTCTCCGAGAGCAATTTGTGGTGAAGAAATAATGGATAATTTGGTCATTGTTGAAGACTTTGTTTATAACATCTCACACTTGTATTGCCCTCACAACTGCAAACCTCTTAATAGGACAGTAATTAGACCAAATTTCACTCCAGGTTAGCAATGTTAACACATCCACTGGGATGGACTGAAAAGATTCAGTTTAATGTGCTCTAATGCTGAGAAATAATTATGGGTAAGTTACTGTTAGGAAGAGGCTAGGTTATAATGATGAAGAGTTATTCCGTCACCCCTGACACCATCTTAAGCAAAATTGTTTAAAGGAAACTGCACACACCTCTTATCAATTAATACTAGGTGAGAACTCCTGGCTTCTATAACTCCTCCGAGAGTAATTTGTGTTCAAGAAATAATGGTTAATTTGGTCATTGCTGAAGACGTCATTTTTATCATCTCAGCAAAACATGTCTCCAGCACTTCCTCTGACTGATGTTGTGCCGAACAAAGGGCATCAGCTGAGAGTTTGTGTGTTGAAAGTCCTCTTTATTTCATATGTACTGTATATGGGAGTCTTAAGAAACAACGTTTACAGTGCTCTTTTATATAGTTAAACAAACTATACAAGATACACTCCCACATGACTCTCTGTTTGCCTTATGGCTATATGGTCATTCTAAAAAGCTGACCAGTACATATATATTCTTTACTGCTGGCTTGCATGAAGAGCAGCCCCTTCTGCTGAATAGACCATTTGTTCCAGGAGAGGTCACTCGGTCATCTCCCTGAGAACTATGCCAGCTATGCATAAAAACATTATGTGGCTATGTAATCGTTTGAGACCAGACATCCTGAGATGGATTTAATAACATATAAGTAAAAAGATACATAGTTAACAAGATACAATACAGAATTTTAATGAAAAATTTTAGTTAATTTCCTCACTTAGTAAGAAAACCACAGCATAGCAATATGTTAATTGTCAATTGTTACAGGTTGTGAAAATAAGTAGCAAAATAATTAGGGGGGGGGGGGGTTATTGAAATATGCTTTACAAACAAAAGGTTATAAAGAACTACTGGTCACCCACTGAAGCTCAGCAGGTGTGAGCTGTTGGAAGATGTGTTAGTGGGACCAGTAAGGGACACTCACCCTGCTGTCTGTGTGGGTCCTAATGCCCAAGTATACTGACGGGGACACTATACTGTACAAAAGCGCCGTCCTTCAGATGAGACGTAAAACCGAGGTTCAGACTCTCTGTGGTCATTAAAACTAATAATAATAATAACTGATAATAATTCAAACATTTGTAACAATATTCTTGGATGTCCCATTGTGGTCCAGCCACTGAAAATGCATACATTTCTGAAATTACTGCTGCATTAAAACAATACAGTACAACTACACAATCATTTCAAGAGGAGATCCACTTCAATACCATAATAATGTATGTTCTTGCCCAAACACTTTTATATACAGAGCTTACAGTCCTATTTATTTTAGGAAATTTTCATTTCCTGTATTTTGAAATCCACAGACTAAAAATTCTCTCTCCTATTTTGGTTTTGCATCTTTAGAATAAGGAGACATTCTCATCTGCTTTTGGATATCCATGTTGAAGAAAAGGGGACTGAGTCCTAAATCAGATTCTTTTATTTTTTCTCTTTATAGCCCGTGAAGGCTTTGAATTGTGTTACAGGGCTAGCAATTCTGGGTTTCTGGGTCTGTAGAATGTAGGCCTCTGAAATGCATAGTTTTGTACATGTGTTTGTTTAATATTTTATGTTTAGCTTTTTTCTGTCAAACTGGGACAGATAAACCACAAAAGATAAAATATTATTGTAGACAGAAGAAGAACATAAAGACATTCTTGTACAAAAGGCTTAGCACTAACAGCATTAGTACTGCTTCTGTTTAACCATATTATATATGTAATCTGCCTTTGCCAGAAGTATTAGGCATGTTTATTCTTTTATTGTACTACAAATATTTATTATATTTTCATTTTGTACCATTCATTATAGGTAGGGACATTCATATGTGGTTTACAATATCTGTAAAAAGGTATAAATCTGTGACTTTACATGAACACGATAATATATCCTTATTTATTACAAAGTGTTCAATTTATCCAATCTGGATTTGCTGAATCAACCTTCTTACATTGGACAAAGGTCTGTTGTATACTTAGGCTTCCTTGTCCTGTTGAACTGTAATTTTTGCAAGTTTCCAATCACCACCCAACTGAATAAAGAGTGGTCAGAGATATGCAGTTCAGTGAAACTGAAACAGCTATTAAGCTTAGGTTTAGTAATCATTACAAACAGAATAACACCTTTTCATTTTTTTTAGATTTGATGGGCTTTTGGGATTTAACAAGTTTTATCGAGTTTCAGTTCAACAAAAACATCCATCTCTCCCTTTCGTGTTTTACAACACAGCCAGGTGCTTTCCAAACCCACAGGATTTTTAGACCGTTCTCTTTAACAGATCATTGTCCCAGGTCCTGAAAAATAACAAAGCTAAACTGTTAATTGTATGAAGAAAGTCTAACAAATTGCCTTATAAAAGTTTTTTTTAAAAAAGAAAAGTAAAAGACCAAGCAGACACTCTAGAGAACACCCGTTCTGACTGCTTCATGGCCCTATAGGATATGCCTCTTGCTAGATCATTTCATGTGGACTCTGAAGCCATCATTCCCTGCCATGCTAGCTTCCAATTCACATTCACAAGCACACAACACTAAGCTCAACAAGGAGTGAACAAAATTCAGTTTAACAATCTTTCAAGGTCATTCTTTGCTTTTGAGTATTGGCAAAACCACTTGGTAAAATCTAAAATCTAAAATACAATAATACAAGCAACAATAAAATACAATAAACTGCAAAACAAGGTCATATTTCAGGAAGGGTTCATTTTTACCAATTTCAATCAGTGGCTGCTGTCAGCAAGTTGTAGATTTCAATGAGGAGCATGAAGCCTAAAAACCTAGAAGTGTTTTTATTCTCCGAAACAAATCTCAAAATATCAGTTCTAGATATAATTTTAGTTTAAATAGCATAGATCATACGCTGCTGGCAATAAAGCAATTTATTACGGAACACCCTTTTGCAGAAACAGGTGCATATTGGATATGATGTGACTCATTTATAGCCTAACTATTCATACAGAAACGCACGCTTGGCAGGGTGTGGTATTGTTTTGCGCATTAGTGTCAGTTTTTGCACTACCTGCATGTGCAACAAATTTGTGTGCTCAGCTACTACATTTTGATTCTTTGGAAACTTTGCCGGCAGCCGTATCGCCCTGCAACTCACAGCTGGCAGCCCCACTGAAGCTCAGCAGGTGTGAGCCTGGTCACTTCCTGGATGGGAGACCTCCTGGGAAAAACTAAGGTTGCTGCTGGAAGAGGTGTTAGTTGGGCCAGTAGGGGGCGCTCACCCTGCGGTCTGTGTGGGTCCTAATGTCCCACTATAGTGATGGGGAAACTATACTATAAAAAGGTGCTGTCCTTTGGATGAGACATAAAACCCCAGGGCATTTCTCAAAAAGAGTATGGGTGAAACCCTGGCGTCCTGGCCAAATTTCCCATTGGCCTTTACCAACCATGGCCTCCTAATAATCCCCCATCTCTAAACTGGCTTCATCACTCTGCTCTCCTCCCCACTTAGAGCTG